ATATATACCAAGAAGAGGTTAAAACAAATTATAAAAGAATGAAGAAATTCAACACTGTCTCATAAGGTAAATTAAAATTAGAGTCCATACTAATAAAACTAAAATGAAATCCCTGAACTCTTGTAAGATTGTATGACCAAAACAATCAGGTTGCAAATGACATCAGTCACTATCATAAAGGAAGATGAATCCTGCTGCATACTGCTCTTTGTGACACCAGGCAGAATAATTGCTTTTCTACCTAACTGATGATGTGTTGATTCTAAGTTAATCCTCTTCTTATTAGGTTAATCTTTCTGATTGGCTGTTACTACTCTAGAACATTAAGATTAAAAAAACAGAGAGAGAGAGAGAGAGAGAACAAACTATTGTACCTTTGCAGCTTGTCGACTGCATGTACATTTGCCCCGTTCTCTATCAAAAATTTGACCATTTCTTCTTTGTTCTTCCTGACGACGAGTAAGAATGGTGTCAAGTTATACTGTAAAATAGTAAAAACAGTTGACAATGTACAAAATTACATATAAATTTCAAAACTGAATTTAAAAACTTAAGTCTCTGAACTTAAACATACACCATAAAGTAAATAAAAAGTAGCCCCTTCCTCCTCACCCCTCTGTGCTCCTTCACTTTAAAAGGTTCCTTCTTGACCTCTTCCAAAGTTTCCCTGTGAAGTCATTCTCTGAAACTCACTTCAGACACTTGCTGGTTCCAAGAATCTTCGCTTCTATTGCAGCGTGTGTCAGGCATTCTCTAGTTACCTACTACTACTCCTGACACTCTAAACACTGCTCCAGAGAGAACCATTTAGCTACTGAATCAACTACACTTCTAACAAGCCACGCTGAGGAGAAAGATACCATACTGTCTGCAACATGCATAACCTATCCAATTACAACTATGACTAATCTCATTAGGCTTTCAGACATTCCAGTGGGAATATGATTATTTGCATGTAAAGAAAAAGTTTTTCTTAAACCAACTTATAAATTCTAATTTGAAAAATTCCATCCCACTCTTAAGGGATTATTATAAAATACGAAGTAGACTATAAATTAATATAGACTGTCTTTAAAATCTTGAAATATTTATCAAAATATACAACAGGAATTGGGAATTCAAATGCTTACAGAGGCAACATAGGTGGCCTGAGTAAGTGAAGGTCACAAGTGAGGCAGCAAACTGGAGAACACACGCCCCACCGAGAAGGGGCCACCTCTGCGAAGCAGACCACATAGGCCTGGGCTCAAGGGGGACCAGATTTGATTCTTTAGAAGTTCTGAAGTGTAGATTTCTACACAAGTCTCCTAAATTTTAAATGTTGACTCAATATGTGGAGACAGACAACATATCCAGGCATGTTTAGTCTATAGGCCACTTGTGTTTTTATGTTTGCTGTGTTTCCAAACAGTTGGGTATAAATCAAGTATTTGCATGTAAAACCTTGACCTTCTTTAGAATCATATGTCTTATGCACAAAAACACTGGGCCCCAACATGTAATAAAAATTGTGATTAAGAC